CGACACTCACAGCTGGTGGTGCGTTGGTGCGTCGTTTCCATTGTTTACTGGTAGTTACTGGTAAATATTTTTCAATGTAACGAAACTATTACCCGTTTAGAGGTCGACCCCTAATTTTTTGCCAAATAATTTGGTCTTAAAAACTCGAACTACACACAGGTATATACGGTAAATTAGGATATGGGGGGCCAGGGGTTTTGAGGGGGGGGGGGGCAGCAAAAGTACACCGATTTTTAACATTCAAGGGTATCTCTGTTACCTAACCCCCGCGTATGTTAAGGGCCGACTGTACTCAGAAAGGAGGCTACTCACCGAAGCAAGTCTTCAATGTGGATGAGACTGGTCTCTTTTGGAAGAGGAAGCCTGAGAGGACCTATACCTCCATGGAGGAGAAAAGATTGCCAGGTTTTAAAGCGGCAAAAGACAGTTTGACGCTGCTGTTTGGCGAGAACGCTGCTGGTCACTTCAAGCTGAAGCCTATGCTGATTTCTTGTGCTGCCAACCCACAGGCCCTGAAAGGTTACTTGAAGGATCACCTTCCTGTCACCTACAAGGCATATAAGAAGGCTTGGATAACCGGTGCCATATTTAGCTAGTGGTTAAACGTATACGCCGTCCCTGCAATGAAGGAATACTGTGCCAAGGAGAACCTTGACTTCAAAATTCTTCTGATCGTTGACAATGCTCCAGCTCATTCTCCCAATCTCGACGACTTGCATGACAGTGTTAAAGTTGTATTGCTGCCTCCCAACACGACAGCAATGATGCAGCCTATGGACCAAGGTGTCATCGCCGCATTCAAGGCGTATTATCTACGCTGTATCATGGCCCAGCTGCTCAAGGCTACAGACGGAGAAAATAAACCAACGATCCGAGAATATTGGCGCAGCTTCAGCATTCTTCATGCAATTGACAACATTTGCAAGATATGGTAAGAGGTTTCAGAAAGTTGCCTGAATGGTGTGTGGCATAAACTGTGGCCCGAGTGCGTCAACAGTTTTACGGGATTCACGGACTTAGTGCCAGCTGTGAATAGGGATATCCTCAGCTTGGCTAGACAGGCAGGCTTTGATGAGCTGGAATCAGAGGATATTGAGGACGTCCTGGCATCCCATACAGAAGAGCTCACCAACGAAAATCTGCAACAATTAACAGTACACAGTCCCGTTGAAGACGACGATGAAGAAGATCCTCAACGAACACCAACTTCCAAGACGATGGCAGAATCGTTGAATCGTTCCAGCAAGCAATGCAAATCCTTCTAGATGACGACCCAAACAAAGAACGTATCTCAAGGGTTCGACACAGCATTGAGGACAGTCTTGGTTGTTACACAAAGATCTATAAGGAGAAGATGAGTAGCACCAAGCAGTCAACACTGGATTAATTTTTTCGTCGCGGGACGGCAGATGCAGCTTCTTCACAACAGCCTGTAGGCGAGGATGAGCAAACATCAATCGAGGAGAAGCAAGGAACGGCGGAGGAACCCCAGTCTCAGTGACTCACCACCCTCCTCCGCTCCCGCCCTCCTCCTCCTCCCCTCCCGCCCTCCTCCTCCTTCGCTCCACTACCCACCACACACTCACTCTACCACCTCCGCCCGTCAGTGAGTACCAATACAAACTTAGTACTGTAGTTCTATATAATGTATATATACTATTTTCTATAGAAGTGGCAATGATTTTCTGTACATGTAATGTTTTTCATGGGGCAAAGGGAGGCTGGGGAACATAACTCCCGTATTTTATCTATTTCTTATGGGGAAAATTATCCGTTTAACGGGTATTAGCCTCTGCCACATTAATATTATAAAAATATGAGCTAATGACATATTCATTATACAGTATACATTCTATCACCCAGACTATTGAGCATACAGCTACATAAGCATTTGTTCTTTCAAACCTCCTAGGGCAGACAGCCCATAACATTTGTTCTTTCACACCTTCTCTGGTGTACAGCCCATAAAACTACAGACTCAACCCTCAGTGTGTGGGTAGGCTGTGTAGTTAATGGCTGTGTTGAAGTGTGGTTACTCTCCAACCACCAGTTACCAGACTCAAGAGAGTTCAGCCCAGTTCTCACCAGTTCACAGCCTGACACGATGCCCTAAAGTCGTGTCGTGAGACCAGCTCTCCAGGCTGTACCTCTCTAAATATATCAGCTAATTACAAGCTAATAGCCAATGCTCATTAGTCTGTCAATACCAAATAATTGTACAGACATTACTACCCAATATAACTAGAAAATCACCTCGTGTGTTTACATTAAACCAAGGAACAACGAGTGAAGAGAACATTACCTGTGTGTCTTGTTTAACTTACAAGCTAAGATAATTACAGGTAAAACACAGGACAGCTGTGACGATTTCAACTATCATCCAATCTACGACTGTATCAAAGGTGACATGCCATGAGATTATTCGATATCTCACTCAGCTGCATCAAAGGTACCAGCAACGAACCTACACTCATTCAGGCAAGTGTTAACAAGTGAGATAGTTTGATATCCTATCACAGCTAAAACAAACATTGTTTCATATAACGTATCGTTTTCAGGAACGTAAACCCCGACGTTAAGCGAGGACTCCCTGTATTGGCAAAACTAATAAAAAAAAAAACACTCAAGAACTCCAAGGATTCTATGAAATCAAATCAGAACTCATACAACTTAGTTCAGAATGGCACAGACTACCTAAGAAGAAAATGGAGGTGGGGTGATATTCTGTGACTCCCAAAGTACTTCGCAATCGATGAACAGACCAGCAGCCTCAATGTCTAAAGTTGTTATGATATTGAAAAAAATGTGACAACTGCCAAGGAGAACAACTTTCACATTGAATTTGTGTGGATTTTGCCCCATGTTAGAATTAGGAATCATAACCGTGATGATAGACTGGCCAATAAGGCATGGGAGAAAGAAAATGTAGACCTGGACCTTGGCCTATCCAATGCTGCACTAAAAAACATACAAGTCAAAATCATGAATTCTGATCCAGAAGAACTGTGAAATGCACAAAGGCCCACCAATTGTAGTATTAGTAAATATAACAAAATTATGACAAGTGGTACTGATATGGCCAGCACAGAGTACAAAACCAGACAATGTGATGTAGTCGTGGCCAGAATTAGGCTAGGATACAGACACACCTGGCAAATTAGTGATGCTGTACCCATACCAGAACACTCAGCATGTAATCTTTGCTAGTGCCACATTCAATGATATAATGTTCAAGTGTATGCTTTAAAGGTTTATCACAAAGACTTCAAGCCAGCTGGCACTTTGTTACATGAACAATGTAATTACTATATTGAATCAGGAATCATTCAGGACATTCTTACAATCTTATAGTATATCCTAAATTTACTAGTCCACACCGATTACTCCTCAAATAGAATAAAACACTAATCAACATGACCTATATTGTATATGAACCAAAGTTCTGCATGGCAGTGAAAAGTGATAGCACCCTCAGTGTCAAATTGTACTCCAAGCTTTGCCAATAAAGTTGTTGAACTAAAAAGTACTACAGTAACCTGTGAGAGGCTCAGCAAATAGGGGACTCCGTGCTACTAGGCCTGGCACAGCTGGCGCTGGAGTGTGTTCCTCCTCCCAACCTGGGACTCGGACCCAAGTGTGATTTCGACTGGTGCTGGATTTTGCCTGATAGCTGTTGCCGTATGCTTGGTTGTCACGGGGTTTGGTGTACTCGTAGTGGTAGACCTGTCCTGGTGCATTCCCATCGTTACTGATATGGGTGTGCCCGTCGCCTCTGTCCGTTGTTATCATGTGTTTGGGTGTCATGGCACGTGGTGTACTGGTCGTGATAGGCATATTGGTGGCACCTCCCCCCATAGTTACTGAAATGTGTGCGTTGTGTCGCCCTCCTGGCTTTTTTTTTTTTTTAACAGGAATTAGCCCACCCGGGCACAGGTCGAACGACCCACAACGGGGCCTAGGGGGCAAAAAAATAAGAATAGAAAGAATTTAAAAATAGAAAAGAAAAAGGTTATATTAATCTACATCATGAAGATGCCAAAAAAACCAGCTTTTTTAAGCGAGACAGATTGTATGAGTATGGAAACACAGAAGACGGCAGAGCATTCCACAGTTTGGCTGTGTGAGAAAAGAAGGATGCACTATAACGGGTTATTTTAGTGTGACCGACATCCACAGAGAAACGGTGGGCACCGCGGGCAAGATGTGTGTTATGAGCCCACGGCCTTGCCGGCGGTACGCAGGATGCCAAATCCATCGAACACTGCCCGTTAAAGTACCTGTAAAAGGGAGAGAGTGAAGCAACATTGCAGCGAAGAGAAAGGGAAGATAGTTTGTCAACTAAAGGAGGAGAGTTAATAAGACAAAATGCCTTTGATTCCACCCTATCTAACAGTTGGACAGAAGAAGAGCCACCCCAGATATGAGAGCAGCACTCCAACTTAGGACGAATGAATCCCTAATATACTTAAAGCAACTGCTCAGGAGTGAAGTAGCTACGGCATCTGTACAGCATTCCCAACTTTCAGGAGGCAGTTTTAGCAATGTTGAGGAAGTGTGGCTTCCATGACATATTAGAGAAAATGGTGAGGCCTAGCATATCTATTTTAGAATTTGGCAGAATGATAGCATCCTGAAATGTAATTGGTGGGAGATCATCTTAAGTAGAAAGTGCAATTGGTAAATACTGAGTTTTATTACTTTTGAATTTAACCAAGTTTCTACCTCCCCATTCGGAGATGCTGCACAGATCCGCATCGATAGATGTAACAATATTAGCTCTAGAAACAGATCTAGTTTGAGAGTTAGGAGGAAGGAGAAAATGTGAAGAAGAGTGAAGAGTAGAATCATCAGCGCAAGAATGGATAGCACTAGTTGTAGTGTGAAGTAAATCATTGATAAAAAGAAGGAAGAGAATAGGTGAAAGAACAAAACCCTGTGGGACACCACTATTGGTAGAGAAAGAGCACAATGTAGTGCAAATTACAATATTTTCTGCCTACCTGAAGTCTGGTGGTGGCTTAAGCATATCCACTGTGGTGACTTTGAGAGAGATGGTCTTGAGCTCAGCCAAGAGGTACAGGTCCATAAAGTACTCCTGGCAGAAGAGACAAGCTCCTTTTCGGCGGCCATCAATCGTTGAAGCCTGGAATAAATTATTATCAATATTCTGTCAAATTATACAATGAATACAATAGGTCACAATGTACAATACAGTATTAATCTATTTATAAATCATAGCTTGATTCCTTCATAATGAAATGGATAATCAACATTTCTGTACACCAGAGTTATTGGAGGCCTTCAAGGTGCGTCGACATAGCTGCCTTGAGTTAATATTTCATAATAACCATGTATAGAACTTTATAACGATTCGTAGTGGTTTTGTCAGAAAAATTTTTTCTTCACTTAAATAAATGTAAATTTGATGACACAAAGTGTGCAGGGCTTTGAAGTAGAGAAAAATTATGGGGTAAAAACATACAAAAAATTTATGACATCAAACCTAATGAACTCTCAAATATCAGTATACAGTACAGTACATGTCTAACAAAATCAGAGACCCCAAAAGAACCCGACCTTACCTCTGAACCCCCTAGTGTGTAAACTGAACTTGGCCAATAAATAAATAAATCTGAAATTGAAGAATTTATATAAAAAACCTGTATACAGTGGTCCCTCGGTTAACAAACAAACTTTGATTAACGAAATCCTTACGAACATCACGTTTTGTTGTGAGCATCAGCTGATCAGCTGATGGGCTAGTCTGCCAATTCAGTATTGTAATCTGTTCTATGTTTACATTCGTTTCCAGTGGAATAAATATCAAGAAAGTTGTGCTCTTTAATATTTTTGCATTTTTTATATTAAAATTATTAGTCATTTTAACATTTATTTAACATATATTGATAATATATGCAGTACAGGGAAATAGTTTTTTGTGCGCCCATCAGACGCTTGACTCAGACCACCAGGCGTCAGTTGGGCTTTGTTGACAGTGGAGTGAACATCTATTTTGTTGGTGTCATGAATATTTTTCCATTTTTACATTGAAATAATTGGTCATTCTGAAATTTAGTTAACATATTGATAATAAATAGTGCAGTGCAGTGTTGATTTAAATAAAATAATCTTGAATTACACCTAGAGAACTTAAAATTTTATTGGTGAAATGACAGCATCAAGCATGGGTCCCCTGAAAGGTGATTTCTCCTCCATCCCCACTTCCTTCTCTTCTCCCTTCTCCTCCACCCCCACTTCTAATACCCATCATCAACCTTCTACATACACACCTCAAAGTAAGTGTACTTTACGGCTTTTTTTTTTTTTTTACTTTGTATGTACTTTTTGGTGAGATGGAACCAATTACCCAATATCCCATTGAAACAATGGATTCGGTTAACAAAATTTTCGATTAACGAACGACCACTGAAGGGTCAAGACGTACCTGGCGCTCCTCTGGGAGCAGCCAGGTCAACTGTTAAGTTGGCCCATACCAACTCCCTCCTCTGAACCCTCCTCCCCACCGGAATATCAACAAGCTCTCGCCAGAAGTTACAATTTCATTTAGGAAAGGAATGGAACCAGTGTTGAACAGAGGTGAACAGTGCTTAAGTCAGTGAGAACAACTCAACAGTAACAGCCGAGTCGTACCCAAGTTAACCTTCACACAGTGAGGTCCCAGGTACCCAGTGATAACGGCCAGTGAGACCCAACAACAACCAGCGATGTGTTAATCCGTCTACGATAGGATGGCCTGGGACCACACCTCACTCATATAACACCATCTGTGAGGGAATTACTACACCACGTCAGGTCCCTCGTAACACCATCTGTGAGGGAATTACTACACCAAGTCAGGCCCCTCATAACACCATCTGTGAGGAAATTTGTACACCACGTGATGCCCCTCATAACACCATCTGTGAGGGAGTTACTACACCATGTGAGGCCCCTCATAACACCATCTGTGAGGGAATTACTACACCACGTGATGCCCCTCATAACACCATCTGTGAGGGAACTACTACACCACATGAGGTCCCTCCTAACACCATCTGGGAGGGAGTTACTACACTACGTGTTTGCTGTTCAACACCTACATTAATCTGTATGTTCACTTTATGTTCCTTTACCTTTCTCTAATGAAGGCTTAGGTTAAACCACCAATGTATGTAATAAGTCATTTATGTTCAATGTATATTTTCAGCCTTTGGGCTGCAGAACTTTTTCAATAAACCGTTAATTATTATTATTATTATTATTATTATTAATGATTTGTGTTCGTTAACCGAGAGACCACTGTATAAATTTAAAACGAAAACGTGAGTAACCTCATGCACACAAGTATCATATTACATTGACACTTCAGCTGCTTGGCAGAGTAAGAAATAAAACAATATATATTCTTGCAAACCTGTACTGTACTTCCCTGACTGAAATCAAAGAGTTAAAAGAACTTAAAACTCCAGTACAGCAAGCCTGGATAATTTGCGGGTTTTTATTTCGTGGTCCGCTATTATTCGCGGATGACACCCTGGATGTACCCAAGAATATCTGCCAGGATTTTCGTGGCCAGTCTCTCGTCCCGGGAGGCTGGCCCACGCACAATTGCTCCACCTCAGTCCAGGATAAACACTTGTCAGTCACGTTTACCGTACCCCTGTTCAGGGGCGACTTCAGTCTACTAACCCCATCCCTTGAGTATGTTACTTGGGGAGCAGGAGCTTCACTACACTCTGGTCGACCTCTCGCCTCCCTATACCACTTCTGACAACTCGTTGGTGGAGCTGTTTTGCATTTGACCTGATATTCAGTTAATTTGTTAGATGTACTTATGTGTCTGAGATAATATTATAATTGTCAGGGCTGTAACGAGCAGGATGGTTGTCCGCTGCGCGTTTGCTGGTTCGCGACCCCCACTAGGGGGGTAGACGGAGGTGAGAACATCGCTGCTGGCTCGTCTCACAGATCAGACACTACCCAGCCGTCAGTACAGCTACACCTCCCCGCTGTCCGTTCAAATTCTGGTTGTAATCTCATCATAGGTCCTGGACTTGTGGGCTGTTTCCCCAGACCTTCACAAATTGACTGTCAATCTCCGGACACCTACCCCAGCTACTACCGCGGCTGCCACGTCATCGCCAGTTCCTCCATACCGTCCGCCAGTGCCGAGTGAGGAAGCTGACTTGACCTTCCCCCCTGAGAGCGGATCACTGCTTTCCAGAACATTCCCCAGGGCCGCCGCCGTAGGATATATCTGTTCATTATTTGATTCCATTAATTGTTTGACCCCCTTAAATGTTTGATTCCATTAATTGTTGACTCCCGTTAATTATTTGATTCCCTTAATTGTTGACTCCATTAATTGTTTGATTCCCATAATTGTTTGGCTCCATTAATTGTCTGATTCTCATAATTGATTGACTCCCGTAATTGTTATTTGACGTTTGTGTTAGTGGTGTCAGAGTTTTGTGTTATTTTCATAGTAAAAAGATGTTGATCTCTAACGGTTGTTTGTTATCCCTCAGAAAACCATGGTTCTTGACTTTCCTCTTATAAGATCCTGATTAGGCTGGTAAGGGATTTCTATCCCTAAGTCCCAGGCCTTTACAATAATATTCAATTTATATTTAAATGGACAATTTTCCTTTAGCACCTCAGAATCAATTGGTATAACAGTCTAACATCAAAGATCCTATATGGCCTTGACAGCCTGGCTTCCTTGTATCTGTGAGGTTGCCAGTTATTATTTCTGGCATTTGTTGTAATTATGGTGAATCACTGTGCTCCATCTTTAGTAGAATAACATAATGACATCAATGTAGTGAAAATATATCAATGGCAGTCAAATAATGGGTGTTTTCTGCTGGAAATCCATGACCAACACTAGTTCCTAAGACCCATTGAAAAACACAGCTTGCACCAACAGAGATGATGTGTGATGGGAAATGTCAAGCCGTCGTGCTATCTCCTATTTGCTTAGCTTTCTGCTTAGGCCTATCGTAAAGGGCGATGATACTGCCTCGTGTTGCATGTGATATCTCCATAGTGACTGTCAATCCCATGGGAGGACCCGACGACATCATCTAGTAGTGTGAGTCAGATAATGTTCTGTTGCCAACACGAATCGTGAGATGGTACGTTACACTGTACAGTTGTACCCCCACTTAACGCGGTCAATTGAACCCACAGGGTACCGCGTTAAGTGAACAACAGAACATATGGGATTAATTCCAATAGAGACTGGCCCAACCCCCAAACTCCACTTTTTGACGACACACAACTATGTTGTAGTAAAAATATTATCTTAACTTTATGATGGTATGCACACACAATTAATAATTAAGAGAAATATCAATAATATTAGGTTTTTTAACACTTACATTAGTAGAAAAGATGGCTGGGCACACGGGGATGGGGGTTGGTTCCGAGGCAGAGGGCAGATTATTGGCCCTCACCTGTATCACTTGTATCAATTGTATCACTATCCACCACAGAGGCTTGCAGGGCCTCTTTGTCAAACCCCTCAAAGTCCATATAAGTCCATATCCTCACTATAATTTTCACTATCACTGACTTGGGCCGGCTGTGGTGGGTGGCTGGTGAAGAACTCGGTAATGTTTTGATGACTGGGCGACCTTGTGCGCATCGTGCCCGCGCCGCTTCCCGCGTATATGAGTAGATGAACCGCGTTAAGTGAAAGTTCGGTTCTGGCGAGGCACCGCGTATATGAGAAATCGCGTTAAGTGAAACCGCGTTAAGCGGGGTACAACTGTATTCATAATTGTTACCTCATCAATTGAGGTAGAAATAATATTGAAATGCAGTAAATCATAATGTCATATTAATTGGATATGGCATAATAACACACCTGTAATTACAAATGCATGTAATATCGGATCATAGTGTTTCATATTTTGTTCGAAGTGATTCCATAGTAACCTCGGTTCATAAAAACATAACATAGTAACGTTATATTCCTATTTAGCAACCCATCCCCTGGGGCTGAAATAGTATCAAGGTGCATAAATAAGCGGGGTTACTCATGATGTTATTCGTTTTACATATGGTTAACACAATTCCTCTTATTTCATTACATTATGTAGAGAATAGGTGGTAAACTGCAGATATGGTAATTATCAGGTGCAAGAAGAAAGAACGAAAGGTGCAACTCACAATCAGCAATACCAACCGAACCGAGATTGCTGTGCAAGTGTTATTGTGTTCATTTCCAAATACATCAGGCCCAGGGGGCCAATTCTTTGTTGGGAGAGTGTACATAATGGTATAGTCACTCAGATCTCCATTCCTTGATGAGAACTATGAACAATGAATTGACTAAAGTCAGGACCTAGGCAGGACTGGATCCGTGGGGGAGGGGGGGGTCCTGGGGGTCCAGCCCCCCCTTTTCATCAGAAAATTATATTTTTTCTTTAATGCATTATTGTACTAAGGCATTTTTATTTAGCAACAAGTAATTGTAACTGATCTCAGAATATATCAATATCAAATGCACATGGCCTCAAAATGCTCATGGTGGGCTGGGTGTTTGCTATGTTCCCCCACCCACAACTTCTTGGACTCACTGAATACTTGAGTGGATGTCGTCAGGCAGTGAGGTATCAGGGCTCGGTCTCCACATTCCAACACCTCGCCTGCGGTGTTCCCCAGGGGACCAAGATGGGACCACTGTGCTTCCTCATCATGATCAACGACACTCTATCGGACACTCTTCACAAGTGGAAGTACGTGGACGACTGCACTGTGGAGGTTACAGTGGACAACACCGCACCAGACTACTCATCGCTACAAGGCACCCTGGACAGGCTACAGGCATGGACTACGGAGAACAAGGTCACCATCAACCACACCAAAACCGTAGTAGTGCACTTCAATACCGCCACCACTCCAGTGCAAGCTCCAGCAGTCACAGTGGGTACCCATCCTCTCCAGTTAATGCAGTCTGCCAAACTCCTGGGCGTAACTATAGACAACAAACTGAACTGGAAGGCCCATGTAAATAACACAGTTAAGGCAGCCTCATACTGACTCTACATGCTACGATGACTTAGGTCACTTGGGACACCCACGCCAGAGCTGAGGAGTATCTACAACGCCTTTATTCTCCCCAAACTAACGTATGCGTCACCAGCCTGGTCGTCTTCTCTCAACTCCACCCAACAACGTCGGCTAGAGAAGGTACAAAAAAGGGCCTGCAGAATCATGCACGGCGCAGAATACTCTGGCTACATCAACGCTCTCTCCACCCTGGAAATGCCATCCCTCAGTGATCTCCACCACCAAGCACTGGAAAGGTTTGGCAGCCAACTAATGCATCACCCTCGTCATCGCCGCCACCGGCAGCCCCCCACCCACCTCGCGCAGTCCGCCGCTACAACAAAATTCAGTCCATAAGAGCCCGCACCGATAGATATAAGAATAGCACCATCCCATCTATTGTTAAAATAATAAACAACACCTGATTTATGTACTGCACAGCTCTGTAAATGTATTCAACGCATATTATATCATGGTCTAAATCAGATATAAACCTGTATATTTTCAGCCACCGGCTGCAACTCTATTAATAAACCTTTTATTATTATTATTATTATTACCCTTTGACACTCCTGGGTCAGCCTCTGCTGAGTAATATGCAATAAACTTACCTTAAACCTAAAAAAAAAAAAATAAACATACACAATCTTTCACAAAAGGAAAACTTACTCCCAGATTTGGACCCCTTGCGCCTTGGTAATACAGTCCTCAAACGTGAAGAAATATTAAATTCCCTGGGGTTATTGTGAAGATAAACTAAACTAGAGAAACCAGTAAATAAGAAGTGCAGTATACTGTATCACAATCGTCAGTCACTCACTCTTGCAGCAATGAAAGAAAACTACCTGTATTATGATCGTATTTATCAACACTTGATACACATTATGAGGGGGGGAGGGGCCTCTGGCTTCACAAAAACACAAGCCCTGGTCACTGCAAAGCAGAGTTTGGTTGACAATGACGTACCTGAATAAAAACATTGACCACACTAACGAACAATTTGTGAAATTTAAAATTTTAAAATTACAGTAATACCCCACTTTACACGTTTCTACGTTTACGCGGTACCCTGCCAGACCCGGAATGTTCACTTTACGTGGTGCACCTACTCTTTTACGCGGAGAGCGGCTGGCGGTCATCTCGCGCCGCGCCATTTTTGGATTCAAACCTCCAGCCATCCCGCCATGTTGGGTAAGCGGCGCGAGTAGGTTGCGCAGTGTATGTCTTTGTTGCATTATCGGTGACGTCATATGACGTATCGGACTTTGATTGGGCCAAGCATCCTTACCTCCCTCCCCCGCTAGCTGTGATTGGTTTAATGTAATATGACATGCCCCGCCGCAGGAGCGATGAAGCCCGTTGACCTACCCGCGTCAGTTACACCCCTCCAGGCTACACCGTGTATATCGGTATCGTTCCATAAGAATGGCTGCCACCGGACCACCACCACCACCACAAAGAAACCTTGCATTACGTGGACCCAGCCGCCCTAAGCCAAAGAAGATACGACGTGCCCTAAGCTACGAAATTAAATACAAGATCATCCAAGAGTTCGAGAAAGGAACAAGGCAGGTTGATTTAGAGTTCCAGCATGCTGTGAACGAATCTACAATCAGGACAATCAAGAAGGATGCAGCCAAGATAAAAGAACACATGAACATCACAAAGTCTACAGGTGCTTCTATGATCAAGTATTGCCACAACAAGGTGCTTCTCAAGATGGAGAAATTACTTGTGAGCTACCTGATTCGTCAGGCAAGACGGAACATGGCGGTCGACACGCGCTCAGTTCAGGAGTACGCACGTGAACTGTACGCAGCTGTGTCACGTAAGATGGGAATTGCAGAGCCCAAACCCTTCAATGCTTCCTCTGGGTGGTTGCAGAGGTTTAAGAAGAGGAACAAGATTACCAACATTAACATTGGTAGTGAAGAAGCTAGTGCTGACCGTGTTGCGGCTAGGGATTTTCCTCCGTTTTTACGTGAGATTATGGAGAAAGGACAGTACACCGACGACCAGGTGTTCAACATGGACGAATCCGGTCTCTTTTGGAAAAAGCTACCTTCCAAGACCTTCGTTGTCAAGACTGCCAGCAAGTGTCGGGGCCGGAAGTTGCAGAAGGAGCGCATCACCGTCCTGTTTACCACCAATGCCTCCGGTACCTGTAAGCTCAAGTTATCGGTGATCCACACAGCCCGCAAGCCACACGCCTACAAGAACATGGACATGACCAAGCTAAATGTCCACTGGCTGACCGCACGTAAGGCGTGGATGTTCTCTACTCTGTCCCTCTCCTGGTTTGATGACTGTTTCGTTCCCGACGTGAAGAAACTCTGTGAGCAACAGAATGTTCCATTCAAGACTTTGTTGCTGCTTGAAAACGCACCAGGACACTCTCCCCTACTGTTGGATCATCACCCCAACATAAAAGTGGTTTTCCTTCTTCCCAACACTACGTCATTAATCCAGCCCATGGACCAAGAATTAATCTGCAATGTGAACGCTGCATTCTCTGCAAAGAAGTTTAAGCTCCTGAACGACTATCACTATACCAACACCAAGGATGAGTTGCATAACCTGGGTGACACCGATAGCAAGAGCGAAGAGGACAAGGAACAACAGTTGGCAGAGCAAGAAATACTTGTGAAACACTTTTGGAGGAAATTCAACGTCAAGAAAGCTGTGGACTTCTTGGTGGAGGCATGGAATCAGCTGTCTGTAGCAACGGTTCATCACGCATGGAGACATGTGTTGCAAGGTATCCCAGGTGAGAGGCAGAGTCAATCTGTGACTGGTGAGGTTCAGACTGTTGCAGTAGTAGTGGACCTTGCCAGAGAAGCTGCGCAGAGTGTTACAGCTGCAGGCTTCTCCGAGACCACCAACGACGACATTATGGAGGAGATAAGGGATCCTGATGTGACTGTCGACGAGATGTTAGAAGATGATGACGTCAGTGAAGAGACAGGCGGTGTTTCATCCCAAGAAGAACGCAAGTTATCGCATGGTAATGTAAGGGGTGCCATCGAGTGTGTAGAGAAACTGAAGCTCCTCCTTTCGGCCGACCCTGACGATAACTGGTATGAAGTCTTCACTACCCAGCTGTTGCAGATTATGGAGCCCTACATCAAGGTGTATCACGACAACATCAACACTATCCGTCAGCAAAGCATTACCGAGTTCTTCGCCCGCAACCCACCACAGCCAGCCCAAGCAAGTGATAGTGACAGAGACAGTGATGGTGATTTTCAGGGATTTGTCAGGGAGGCCCTGATAAGTGTGGATGACAGTGATGGTGACTCACCTGAGGGCCAATAGCCTGCCCCCTGCCTCGGAACCAGTCTCCATTCCCGTACGCCGACCCATCTCTTATACTAATGTAAGTGTTAAACCTAACCCTGATTTTTTCTAACCTAACCTACCATGACATATGCGTTAAACCTTAATTTTTCTTTTACCTGGTACAGTATATTATTCTCTTATTGATACTTCTCTTCTATATTATGTGTGTGTGTGCATGCCATCATAAAGTTAAGATGTTATTTTTACTAAAACATACGTATTGTGTCGGGAAAAAGTGGAGTTTGGGGGTCGGCCCAGTCTCTATTTCAATTAATCCCATATGTTCTGTTGTTCACTTTACGCGTTTCCCGCTTTACGCAGGCCTCCGTGGGTTGAATTGACAGCGTAAAGCGAGGTATCACTGTATAGGATATTAACACCTAGTACTGTGCCCTATTTGTTTATAAACCTGTCAATCACTTGATTGAGATTAATTATTTCCAGTTCCAGAATAACCATAGATACAACTTAAGCCCAGAGCTACTAAGATCACGCCCCATGCACTCTTCTCTGTCCCAGACCTCCATCATGGTGTGAAGGTGAAACAACTTACTCCCACCTGTGCGAGCAAAGACTATGCTCCCTTCCTTTAAGCCATCTCTTAAAAATATCTAATGTCTGTAAACACTCATTTTGGTGCTTGGTTCCACTACCTTTACCAATGACATGAAACTGCTTCACTCTTCTCCTGTCAACTAGCTTAGAACCTCCATAGCCACACCCTTAAGACTCTTGGTTAATTGCACTGCACACTGCTTGTCATCCCACCTGTTTTGCTCAGCCAGTAACTCAAAACTGTGCTTGGTACGCTTCCCATGAGACATTGCCATCGAATTCCTGCGGTTTCTTCTTCACTGGCTCTCTTGGATAGTTCACCACTTCACTTGACAAAGTTCGGTGTCTGAACTCAGGTGCTGTATAATTCAACTCGACATTACTTTTTTCTACACGCTTGTTACCGCAAGCAGTCATGAGTAGGATGACACATAAACAAACACTATTTAGGCTCTAAGTCATGTCAGGTTTATTGGGTGTGCCTGCCCGTATACAGTATGTAGGGTGTTGAGATGGTTGAAGATGAGAGACCTAGAGGAGGTGAGGTGTTGGGTGGTAGTAAGGGAGCTTGTTTGTGTACTGTATAACCACCTGACTCAGCAGCCCTCACCCATCGAGAGAGGGTTGGGGAGGCGGCAGGGTGTATCACTGTAGCTATTCAGACCACAGAGGCAACACCTAACCTGGTTTCTCTTGAGACTTCCAACACGTAAGTTTAACTGGTACTTATTGTGTACACAGGTAGACTGTGTCCATAGCTTCGTTTATCATTGTGACGACATAAAAATATGGAAACTTAAGTACTCATTATAAGTGTTAAGATTAGACTGATTACATAGCTATGATTGTTATGTAAATATATATTGGATTAGACATTTATGTGATTGCCTATGTATGTTTTATGTGAAATACTAAAAGGAATTGTATCCAACAGGTTTGACCAAATTATAATGTTTGAGTCCAACGTCACAAGTTTCAATAAATCCTCTAATCGCCTGATTGGCGATTACACTCTTATCTTATTTTCAATAACTTTTAACTCTATTCACTCCAGTCTGAGCGTACAAAAACGATGTTTCACGCGCACCACTGCAATTATAGGGGTCACTAGATCTTGGCTGATACCCTGCTGTTAGACAATTCTCTAGAATGTCTATCCTACTACTGACTTTCTTAAGCTCACTGTTCACTACTGTTAGCTCTTCATGTACCTCCGTGATCTCACCACTCACTCTTTGTTTGTGTTGCTTCAATTTTTCACCCACTTCATCTTTTGTCACTCCTAGTTAAACTTGCGCCTAAAGCAATGCATCATCCCATCTGTTACACATTATTTGCAGAGTCTTATCCTGTTCATGAATAATCTTGTCAATCTCTTCCAGCAGCTGCTGCAGTTGTTGCTTCTGTCCTTCTCTCCGTTTCTGCAGTTGTTCCTGAATTTTTACTTGCAGATGCACACACTTCATGTTTCTGCTCTTCTTCTTCTTCTTGCAGTAGTTATTTCAGTTCTTCTCATGATTGTAGCTGTTCCTGTAACGTTGTTTGTTGCTCCTTCTGTTCTTCTAGTTGTGCATGTAAGAATTGTATCAGATGAGCCATGGAAATCTCCCCATGGCTGGCTTAGCTTCTGGTCTGGACACCGTCACCTTCCATCTTGATTAATATCTCATTGCTAGAGCTATCCCACTTCTTACACCACTGTTACGAACCTCTTTCGGTGCTTACCATCTTCCACCGTTGGTTACCAGCAGCCAGATCACATGTACAAAAGCAGTAGATACAGTATATCACAAGTGTCGTCGAATTACCACTAGCTGACAGTATATCACAAGTGTTGTCGAATTACCACTAGCTGACAGTATATCACAAGTGTCGTCGAATTACCACTAGCTGACAGTATATCACAAGTGTTGTCGAATTACCACTAGCTGACAGTAGATCACAAGTGTAGTCGAATTATCACTAGCTGACAGTATATCACAAGTGTCGTCGAATTACCACTAGCTGACAGTAGATCACAAGTGTAGTCGAATTATCACTAGCTGACAGTATATCACAAGTGTTGTCGAATTACCACTAGCTGACAGTATATCACAAGTGTCGTCAAATTACCACTAGCTGACAGTATATCACAAGTGTTGTCGAATTACCACTAGCTGACAGTATATCACAAGTGTCGTCGAATTACCACTAGCTGACAGTATATCACAAGTGTCGTCGAATTACCACTAGCTGACAGTATATCACAAGTGTAGTCAAATTACCACTAGCTGACAGTATATCACAAGTGTCGTCGAATTACCACTAGCTGACAGTATATCACAAGTGTCGTCATCGAATTACCACTAGCTGACAGTATATCACAAGTGTCGTCGAATTACCACTAGCTGACAGTATATCACAAGTGTCGCCAAGTTACCACTAGCTGACAGTATATCACAAGTGTCGTCAAGTTACCACTAGCTGACAGTATATCACAAGTGTCATCGAATTACCACTAGCTGACAGTATATCACAACATCACAATGAGTCGAATTACCACTAGCTGACAGTATATCACAAGTGTTGTCGAATTACCACTAGATGACAGTGTATAGTGTCGAATTACCACTAGCTGACAGTATATCACAAGTGTGTCGAATTACCACTACCACTAGCTGACAGTATCACAAGTGTAGTCGAATTACCACTAGCTGACAGTATATCACAAGTGTCGTCGAATTACCACTAGCTGACAGTATATCACAAGTGTAGTCGAATTACCACTAGCTGACAGTATATCACAAGTGTAGTCGAATTACCACTAGCTGACAGTATATCACAAGTGTCATCGAATTACCACTAGCTGACAGTATATCACAAGTGTTGTCAAATTACCACTAGCTGACAGTATATCACAAGTGTCATCGAATTACCACTAGCTGAAAGTATATCACAAGTGTAGTCGAATTACCACTAACTGACAGTATATCACAAGTGTCATCGAATTACCACTAGCTGACAGTATATCACAAGTGTTGTCGAATTACCACTAGCTGACAGTATATCACAAGTGTCATCGAATTACCACTAGCTGACAGTATATCACAAGTGTAGTCGAATTACCACTAGCTGACAGTATATCACAAGTGTAGTCGAATTACCACTAACTGACAGTATATCACAAGTGTCATCGAATTACCACTAGCTGACAGTATATCACAAGTGTCGTTGAATTACCACTAGCTGACAGTATATCACAAGTGTTGTCGAATTACCACTAGCTGACAGTATATCACAAGTGTCATCGAATTACCACTAGCTGACAGTATATCACAAGTGTCGTCGAATTACCACTAGCTGACAGTATATCACAAGTGTCATCGAATTACCACTAGCTGACAGTGTATCACAAGTGTCATCGAATTACCACTAGCTGACAGTATATCACAAGTGTCATCGAATTACCACTAGCTGACAGTATATCACAAGTGTCATCGAATTACCACTAGATGACAGTGTATCACAAGTGTCATCGAATTACCACTAGCTGACAGTATATCACAAGTGTCATCGAATTATCACTAGCTGACAGTATATCACAAGTGTCATCGAATTATCACTAGCTGACAGTATATCACAAGTGTCGTCGAATTACCACTAGCTGACAGTATATCACAAGTGTAGTCGAATTACCACTAGCTGACAGTATATCACAAGTGTTGTCGAATTACCACTAGATGACAGTGTATCACAAGTGTCATCGAATTACCACTAGCTGACAGTATATATCACAAGTGTTGTCAAATGCCACTAGCTGAAAGTATATCACAAGTGTTGTCAGTTACCACTAGCTGAAAGTATATCACAAGTGTTGTCGAATTACCACTAGCTGACAGTATATCACAAGTGTTGTCGAATTACCACTAGCTGACAGTATATCACAAGTGTTGTCGAATTACCACTAGCTGAAAGTATATCACAAGTGTCATCGAATTACCACTAGCTGACAGTATATCACAAGTGTAGTCGAATTACCACTAGCTGACAGTATATCACAAGTGCCATCGAATTACCACTAGCTGACAGTAGATCACAAGTGTAGTCGAATTACCACTAGCTGACAGTATATCACAAGTGTAGTCGAATTACCACTAGCTGACAGTATATCACAAGTGTTGTCGAATTACCACTAGCTGACAGTATATCATAAGTGTTGTCGAATTACCACTAACTGTTGACAGTATATCTAAGTGTAGTCGAATTGCCACTAGCTGACAGTATATCACAAGTGT